TGACTCTTCCGATTTCCCAGATTTTCAGCATATATTTGATGATCTTGCAACCTGCAATTGAAACTATGGATATTCATTGCCATACACGTTGAAGTATTACATCTCAGAATTTACTGTTGGTGAGAATTCGTTCTCACGAAGATTCTGCACAATTTAATAGAGAGTAACCACAGTGTATAAGAATACCGGATTGTAAAGATAACCCACATATACTGTGTTACAATTTAATACGTTGAGGATTTCAGTTAGAAAATTAGAAAATAAGTTATACCAGGGGTGTCAAACATGTGGCCCGGGTGCCGGATCAGGCCCCCAGAGGGCTTCTCTCATGCCCGCAGTGGAACTGGCTGTCTTCTGCTTCTTCTTCCAGTTCTGCTGCTGCATCATTGTAGGTTTGCAGCTTACAGATATACACCTGAACAGCATACTCAAGATTGCAACAGCACAGACATTTTGGTGCAATAATTCAGAGCAAGAGGTGTCAGTTATCAGACACTGCTAAATAAATAAAATATTGCAAGAGTGCTGATGTTTTAAGCATGTTTTTATTTTAAGTAATAAAAAAAACCCTTTGTGTTTCTGTCCTTTATGAAGTTTATATCTCCGCTACCTGGAATTACATTTTATGACACACATGGCCCGGCCCAACAAGATCTCATTTATGTCAGATCCGGCCCTCATAACAAAATGTTCGACACTCCTGAGTTATGCAGTTGCAAGATCTTCAAATATATGGTGAGAATCTAGGAAACTGGAATAGAAGAAGAAGAAGAGAAGAGGAGATTGGATTTATACCCCGCCCTTCACTACCCAAAGGTGTCTCGGAGTGGCTTACAAACTCCTTTCCCTTCCCTTCCCCTCCCCACAACAGACACCCTGTGAGGTCGGTGGGGATGAGAGAGCTCTTGACAGAAACTGCTCTTTTTCAAGGACAGCTCTTATCAGAACTACGGCTTGCCCAAGGTCATCCAGCCAGGTGTAAGTGGAGGAGTGGGGAATCACACAGGGTGTCTGTTGTGGGGAGGGGAAGGGAAAGGAGTTTGTAAGCTGCTCTGAGACACCTTCGGGTAGTGAAGGGCGGGGTATAAGTCCAATCTCTTCTTCTTCTTCTTAATCAGAGATCCCCCCCCCCAAAAAAACCCCCCACCAACCTTGGCTTTTGTCTCTTTAAGGCGTCTAACACCTTCCGAGAGATGATTCAAAAGTTCGGTCTGGAACAAACCGATTAAAAAAAACACCAAACAATCTCCACGCAGATGTGCTTACTCACACTCCAGGGCGTGGTGGTGCTTTCATGCATTCCGATCCCACACTAGGAATGACTCCCCAGGTGCGGTGAAATTTAGCAAAATCACCACTGCCGTCCTGGGGATAGCCCTCCTTGTTCACAGCATGGCTCCCAGCCACGAGAGAACTCCACCCTCCCCACTTCTGTTAGCAGCTTTCCGACCCGGCTAGGGAATCTCACACGTTGCACATTTATAAGATGCCTTTACATTACAGTGAGCTTTGCGGGATTTAGATTTTAAATGCAGGTAGGGGGGATTCGGAATGGACAAACAGCCGCGCAAAGACCAAGAGGGTCTTTGGAGCTTTTCAAGCAGAGGTGAGACGGCCGTCTGACAGCAATGCCGGGTCTGTGAACTCAGGTAGGTCATGAGAGGGAGGGCAGGAAGGGTTGCCTCAGTGCTTTGTTCTTGTGGCCCTTTCTTACATGCCCAGAGAAATGCCTATCACCACTTTGGGGTCAGGAAGCAATTGTTCTCCAGGCCAGTTCGGCCAGGGATCCTGGAAGGCTCCCCCCCCCAAATCTTCTGGGTATGGAGCAGGGGCAGGGGTCATTTCCTGCGGGAGCGCACAGGAGCGGAGCTCCGGCAGTAAGGAGCCCAGGGGGCGGGCACATGCAACAAGCCCCACCCCTGCTCCCAGCAGCCCTCAGTCAGGCCACGAGGAGCAAGAAGCAGCCAGGTAAGTTGCAGAGCCCCCTCCGGCCCGCCTTCAGGTACAAGCTCTCCCTCCTCTGTGAGGGCAGATCTGTGCGTCCCCCCCCCCATAGCTAGCAATCCAAAACAGTCCAGTGGCACCTTTAAGATCAAGTTTTATTCAGGTACAAGCTCTCCCTCCTCTGTGAGGGCAGATCTGTGAGTCTCCCCCCCATAGCTAGCAATCCAAAACACTTCAGTGGCACCTTTAAGATCAAGTTTTATTCAGGTACAAGCTCTCCCTCCTCTGTGAGGGCAGATCTGAACGTCCCCCCCCCCATAGCTAGCAATCCAAAACAGTTCAGTGGAGCCTGAGCGGTGGATGCTGCTTTCTGACACACTTCTGGTGATGTCAGGGGGTGTGGCATATGCAAATGAGTTATGCTAATAAGTTATGCTAATGAGCTCCTGCACCTGTCTACGAAATGACCTCTTAGCAGGGGTCATTGGGAATGTGGGGGGTGGAGGTATTTGTGAATTTCCTGCACTGTGCAAGGGGCTGGACTAGATGACCCTGGAGGTCCCTTCCAATGTTCCCTCTAAGCTGTGTGGTCCTGTGAGCAAAAATGCCACTTTGTGAGCTACAGGCATTCAAGTTATGAGTGAGCGATTTGGCTGCTGCATAAATCAGTCTCCTTTGGAGCCATCCCTTCCTGAGCTAGGACAAAAAGGTGTGAGACGGAGGCTAAAGAACTGTGAGCTAGCTCACCCTAACTCAGCTTAGAGGGAACACTGGTCCCTTCCAACTCTATCATTCTATGAAAGGGCAGCCAGGACCCTGCTGTCAAAGGAACGCAGATGCACGCAGAGATCTAAAGTGCGAATCACTCCTAGCTTCCTGAGATGAACAGGCACTGCATGCATGTCTGTTAGGTGTTCTCACCCTTACTCCGAGGGACTCAGGAAGGCACACCTGAATCACTCCACCTTCAAGGCAAGAGACGTTCAGAGGTGGTTGGCCGTTGCCTGCCCCTGCATAGCGACCCTGGACTTCCTTGGTGGTCTCCCATCCAAATACTAGCCAGGCCCGACCCTGCTTAGCTTCAGAGATCGCGCTAGCCTGCGCTATCCAGGTCAGGGCTGGATTGTTTATTATTACTCCATTTATACCCTGCTTTTATTCCCAACGGGCTCCCAAAGCGGTGTACATTATTCTCCTGTCCTCCATTATATAGACTCACAACAATCCTGTAAGGTAGGTAAGACAGAGAGCATGTGATTGGCCCAAGGCCACCCTGTGAGCTTCCAGGGCAGAGTGGGGATTCAGACCTGGGTCTCCCAGTTTATAGTCTGACACTCTGAACGACTACTGGCTAGACAGAGAAAGCTACCAGCTCAAGGTCACCCAATAAGCATAGGCGCCCTGGGGGAGATCTGAACCCGGGTCTCCTCAGTCCTCACCTGCTCCAGCATGTCTTTCGGCAGGTCCTCTTGCTCATCCATCGTCATAATGGCACGCTTGATTTCGTCATTTGACAACTTCAGCCTGGAAAAGCGGCGACAAGAGCGGAGGGAATATGTGACCGGAGGCACAGCTTAGGCAAGCATCAAACAACGACCCCAATGTCACCGGTCACATCGCTCCGCCAAACAGGCGGCCTAATTTGTAGCAGGTGAGACCCTAGTCTGGAGAGACAACCCAGTCACAGAGGGGAGGGAAAGCCGGCCAGGGACGAGACAAAACAGCAAGAAGGCGGGAGAGGAAGTAGGAACGGGTAGGGGGAATCTAGGTGCATTCTGGGCCAGTTTCTTACCTGATGAGTGCCTGAAGCTGCCTTCTACTGATTCAGACCACCGGTCGACCGAGGTCACTATTGCCTACTCAGGCTGGGAGCGGCTCTCCAGGGTCTCAGGCGGAGGTCTTTCCCATCACCTCCTACCTGGTCCTTTGAACTGGAGATGCCGGGGATTGAACCTGGGACCTTCTGCATGCCAAGCAGAGGCTCTTCCACTGAGCTACAGCCCCACTTCATGGCTCTCCAGGGTCTCAGGCGGAGGTCTTTCCCATCACCTCCTACCTGGTCCTTTGAACTGGAGATGCCGGGGATTGAACCTGGGACCTTCTGCATGCCAAGCAGATGCTCTACCGCTGAGCCACGGCCTCTTCCTAGCTGCCTTCTACTGAGTTACACCACCGGTCCATCAAGGTCAGTATTGTCCACTCAGACTGGGAGCAGCTCTCCAGCATCTAAGGGTCGAGATCTTTCCCATCACCTCGTCCTTTTAACTGGAAATGCCGAGGATTGAACTTGGGACCTTCTGTAAGCCAAGCAGATGCTCTACAATTGAGCCATGGCCCCTCCGATGATGCGCAATGCAGATTTGCAATTAAGAACGTAAGGACATAAGAGAAGCCAATGTTGGATCAGGCCAATGGCCCATCCAGTCCAACACTCTGTGTCACACAGTGGCCAAAACCCAGGGGCCATCAGGGGGTCCACCAGCAGGGCGAGAAAACCAGAAGCCTGCCCATTGTTGCCCTCCAAGTGCCAAGAATACAGAGCATCACAGCCCCAGACAGAGTGTTCCATCAATACCTTGTGGCTAATAGGCCCTGCTCCATATATTTATCCAACCCCCTCATAAGAACATAAGAGGACCTCTGCTCCATAGGTTTATCCAGCTTGAAGCTGTCTATGCTTGTAGCTGCCACCACGTCCTGTGGCAGTGAATCCCATGTGTGAATTTCTCTTTGTGTGGAGTACTTCCTGTTATCTGTTCTAGGCCTACTGCTCTGTAATTTCATTCCGTGCCCACGTGTCCTTGTATCATGAGAAAGGGAGAAAAGTACTTTTTTCTCTGCCTGCTCTGTCCCACGCATAATTCCAACTTGGATAGAGGGAAAAGGGAAAGAGACAGAATGGTGTTCCCCAGCAACAGCATCACACAAGCGCTTCCATGGGGCAGTGGATCGCTCTTAAGCACCCTATTGCAGAGATCCAGAGACAATGATTCAAGATGTTCCTTTTGCTCCTTTAAGCATCCTGAAGGCAGATCAAAAATCCTACCTAGGATTACCTCTCTCGACAACATTCCCTGGAAGATCTTCGGAGATAAGGATCCATCTCCTAACGCAAAGCCACCGCCTGCAGTGCTACATTACATTTTTTCCCCAGTTAGAAACTAGGTAGCTATGTTTACAAGACAGTCGATAATAAACAACAGACGACTGACTTGCTTAGAGGCTTAGCGTGGGCAGCAGGCCAGGCGCAAAAACCACTGCCGCAGTTTGCCTTTGCCTTTAGGCCTACAGCGTAACACAGTAATACACATTCAGCCTTAGTGAATGCTGCTGAAAGGAGACTCAAGCATGTGACTCTGGACTGCTACTCCTGATTGGACAGCCACAGGCAGTAGGGTTTGTTTCCCCCCTCCTCTCTCTTTTGGCCCCACGGCTTCTGTGCCGATGCTGTGGAACTGCTGCCAGGGTACCTGTCAAAGCCTGTGACGTGCAGAGAAGGAGCAGAGGAGAGCGACGTGGATGATGAGGGGCCTGGAGACCGAAGCCCCGTGAGGAAAGGCTGAGGGACCTGGGAATGTTTAGCCTGGAGAAGAGGAGGTTGAGGGGGGACAGGATGGCTCTCTTGAAGTACTTGAAGGGCTGTCCCTTGGAGGAGGGCAGGGAGCTGCTCCTGTGGGCAGCAGAGGAGACGACTCGCAAGAATAGGTTTAGATTATGTTGTATCTTTCTACTTTTTTATGCCAATACAGGTATTTGGATTGGACTGGTTTAGATTAAGGGCAGAAAGGTACCAGCTGGGATAGTAGGAAAAACATTTTGACAGTCAGAGTTGTTCAACAGTAGGTCCCTGAAATAGGGGAATTGATTCATAAATCACTTTTTATGGCTGAAATGGACAAAATGACAAGGAAACTTAATAATTTGGAAGCAGAAGAATTTTTTGCAGACTGGATCGATTTTAAAGACTATTTGGAGAAATACTGGGATGTAAAGGACAATTTACTTTGCTTTGAGAATTATTGAAAATCAAAATAGTAGAAAAATAGATAAATATATAAGACTAACAGTTGAAGATTAAGTTACCTGTGGATGTTAATAAGGAGATAAGGAGGTATGAAGAAAATTTAAGAATTGGGCAGGAGGTTGGAGCACTGTGGGAAGTCGAGAATGGGGGGGGGGAAGAGGGAAGGATATATAATTGTATAAGTTTTGATATATATTTGAACATTTCTTTTTTATTATAACCTAATAAATTGTTTTTTGGGGAAAAAAGAGTTGTTCAACAGTAGAATCAGCTGCCCAGGGAGGTGGTGAGCTCCCCCTCCCCGGCAGTCTTCACGCAGCGGCTGTAAAAACATTTGTCAGGGACGCTTTAGGCTGATCCTGCACTGAGCAGGAGGGTCAGACTAGATGGCCTCTATGGCCCCTTCCAACTGTGTGATTCTATGATAAGTCAATCATGGGGATACACGGTCAGCTTTTGCACTCTGGGACTGGAAGGAGGCGTGTGTGAAAATCACACTCTGTGTGAAGATGCCCTTCGCTAGTTCGCAAATGTATTTCCTCTGGAGGTGGGGGAGAGAGAGAGAGAGAGAGAGATACACGTCTCTCAGTGCCAAAAGAGAACGCTGACAACGCGAAGGGAACGCGGCCAGGAAAAAAAAAAAAAAGGAGAAGCTGCAAGCCTCTGCCGAAAACCCACGACCATTATCTTTGTTGGCAGCCGCCATCGAGCACAAAAATCGTCCCGAGGGTGGAACTGGGTCACGGCGCTGGGTGTCGTGAGGGATTTAAACGCTAGAACTCTTTGACAGGACGCGACAGCTCACGAAGGAAGCCTTGGAAAACGTGACGCTGTTTTCGGTGCGGCTTCGCAGAGAGGGACGGGACACCTCGTAAAAGGGCGAGGGGGAAAAATGACACACTCTGAAGAGGACTGTGGTGGTGGGAATCCTTCGGGTAGGGAGATCAAGATGTGAGGGGGTTGGAGCCCCTTCCCTGTGAGGAAAGGCTGAAGAGTTTGGCACGAAGCCTCTGAATCCCAGAGCCAGGCGGCAACTTCAGGGGAAGGCCTCGGCCTCTGGGCCCTGTTGTTGGCCCTCCAGAGGAACTGGGTGGCCACTGTGTGAGACGGGAGGCTGGACTAGGTGGACCCTGACTGGTCTGATCCAGCAGGGCTCTTCTGATGTTCTTATGAAGGCCTCGGCCTCTCTGCCCTGTTGCTGGCCCTCCAGAGGAACTGGTTGGCCCCTGTGTGACACAGGATGATTGGCTAGATGGACCCCTGGTCTGATCCAGCAGGGCTCTTCTGATGTTCTTATGAAGGCCTCGGCCTCTATGCCCTGCTGCTGGCCCTCCAGCAGAACTGGTTGGCCACTGTGTGAGACAGGATGCTGGACGAGATGGACCTCTGGTCTGATCCAGCAGGGCTCTTCTGATGTTCTTATCAAGGGAAGGCCTCAGCCTCTCTGCCCTGTTGTTGGCCCTCCAGAGGAACTGGGTGGCCACTGTGTGAGACAGGATGCTGGACTAGGTAGACCCTCACTGGTCTGATCCAGCAGGGCTCTTCTGATGTTCTAATGAAGGCCTCGGCCTCTATGCCCTGCTGTTGGCCCTCCAGAGGAACTGATTGGCCACTGTGTAAAACAGGATGCTGGACGAGGTGGACCCTCACTGGTCTGATCCAGCAGGGCTCTTCTGATGTTCTAATGAAGGCCTTGGCCTCTATGCCCTGCTGCACGCCCTGCAGATGCTGGATGAGATGGACCACTGGTCAGATCCAGGCACTGCTCTCCCCAGACCAACTTTCCCTGAGAAGACATGTTTTTGTCTCTTGTTCTGCCGCTAGGGGGGAAATGGCCAGCCATGTTGAAGCGCGCCATTTACTTAATGAGCCAAAGGCTTAGAACACATAAAAGGAAGCACTTCTTCACTCAAACAGTAATGAGTGGGAAGACTGCTGGAGTTCTGGCCCTGCTGGTGGACCTCCTGATGACACCTGGGCTTTGGTCACTGTGTGATGCAGAGTGTTGGACTGAAGGGGCCATTGGCCTGATCTAACATGGCTTCTCTTATGCTCTAATGTTTGGGGCAGTGATGCTCTGTCTTCTTGGTGCTTGGGGGGGCCCGCACTGGGAGAATGGCCCCACTGGTAGACGTCCTGATGGCACCTGGGTTTTGGCCACTGTGTGGAGTGTTGGCTTGGGTGGGCCACTGGTCTGATCCAACATGGCTTCTCTTATGCTCTAATGTTTGGGGCAGTGATGCTCTGTCTTCTTGGTGCTTGGGGGGGCCCGCACTGGGAGAATGGCCCCACTGGTAGACGTCCTGATGGCACCTGGGTTTTGGCCACAGTGTGACGCAGAGTGTTCGACTGGATGGGCCATTGGCCTGACCCAAAATGTTTTTTCTTAGGGTCTTATGTCTGGGGTAGTGATGCTCTGTATTCTTGGTGCTTGGGGGGCCACAATGGGAGGGCTTCTGGAGTTCTGGCCCTGGTGGTGGACCTCCTGATGGCACCTGGGGTTCTTTTGGCCACTGTGTTGACACAGAGCTTTGGACTGGATGGGCCACTGGCCTGATCCGACATGGCTTCTCTTATGTTCTAGTTTTGGGAAAGGCGAAGGGTTGTGACCATAAAATGTATACCAAGGTCATCTCTTGAACACATCCAAATGTAAACTGGAAAAACCCAGCTTATTTTGGCTTCTTAAAATTCCATTTACACCCGCCATGTTTCTCCCCAAGAGGGATGGAAAGCGGCTTACGTAATTCTCCTCTCCTCCGTTTTATCCTCACAACAACCCAGCGAGGTAGGCTACGGTGAGACTGTGTGACTGGCCCAACGTCACTGTGGCAGAGTGGGGATTCTACAAATAAGAATCTCTAAACTGAGCTGGTGTTTGGAGGTGGGGAAGCTAATTTCTGATAGGCAACAGTGAGAGGTAAAATGTGGAAGAAATAGAGATGTAAAATTTCCGGAAATTTTGAAGCTCGGAAAAAACGGAAATTTTTGGAAAAATTGAAAAAAATGCTACGTTAGCACATCTTTTTTCTTTTCCAGATTGAAAGTCATTCTGTTACTTTAGGAACATAAAATATGACTATGTACATTTTTACTTGGCATGAAATTATCACAACTAGCGTATTAAATATACAGTGTATCCAAACAATTATTACAAACAGAATACCCACCCCACATGCAAAAACAAAACTGAAACCGTTTTCTTTTCTTGTGACAATAGCACCTCCTAAAGGAAGAAATGCATCTTGTTCTTGCATTGGAGAGTTCAGTTTGTAACCTAGGACTTGCTTGTCCTCAGTGCACAGAAATCAGATCAATCTGATACTATACATATTTTTTAGAAATGACTTGGAAAATATTTGAACACCTTGTCTTAAAATATTTTATTCATCATGTTAAAATAAAATGTTCCGTAATCAATTTCTTTTCTTTTTTTCAATTTTTCAAATGTTCAAATTTTTCAGAAAATCTCGCCGAATTTTCCTGGGTTTTTTCCCGGGCCTTCACATCTCTAGGAAGGAAGGCTCTGAGATTGTAACAGACGCTGCAGTGGCCAACAGGCCGCCAACTGATCCTCAGCTTGCCAATGGTGGAAAGAACCAGGGCTGCAGTCTATACAAGCACACCTGCCTACGGAGAAGTCACAGGTAAGCCGGGGCTTTTCCAGCAATGCTTAAGAGCGGAACCCCCAAAATGCAAAAGTCACATATGGTCAAGCGGCAGTGGCAAGAAGGAGAAAGAAACAGAACAGAAGAGCTGATCTATTTGCTGGCCTGGAAGAGAAAACTAAACACGACCTCATTACGTAGTCATCTTCCCCAGCCAAGCACGGAGAGAGAGAGAGAAAATATCAAGCAAGGCTGTATCTTTCTATGCAGCGTGCCAGAGAGTTATCTGGACAGCTTTATAAAAATGGTCCTCGGTGACTTGCCGGAGACAAGCATCTGTCACTGACATGACAGGACATGGGCACAGTATCCAGGGCTCTTTTTGTAGAAAAAGCCCAGCAGGAACTCATTAGCATAATAGGCCACACCCAACAGCAGGAACTCATTAGCATATTGGGCCACATCCCTGACAGCACAGCTCATTAGCACATTAGGCCGCACACACGTTACCAGAAGTGTGGTTATCCAGCCACACCCACCTTTTGCTTGTTATTCTGTTTACCTTGTTTGTTGTCAAAACCCGGGGCCTTTTTTTGTAGCAGGGACTCCTTTGCATGTTAGGCCACACACCCCTAATGTAGCCAATCCTAATGAGTTCCTGCTGTTGGGTGTGGCCTATTATGCTAACGAGTTCCTGCTGGGCGTGGCCAACTTGGGAGCCAGCCGGAACTCCGTTCCTGTGCGTTCCTGCCCAAAAATAGCCCTGATAGTATCCAAATCGCAAGAAGTCATAGCCCCGCTGCACACTGCATTGGTCCGGCCGCACCTGGAGTACTGTGTGCAGTTCTGAAGGCCTCACTTCGGAAAGGATGCGGACAGAATGGAGCGCGTGCAGAGGAGAGCGACGAGGGTGATCGTTGAGGTTAACCGACATGCCACAGAAAGCGACTCCTACCGATTCTGCTCCAGCAACAAATGGGGAGGGGCCGTGGCTCAGCGGTACAGCATCTGCTGGGCGCGCAGAATGTCCCAGGATGCTCGGCATGCAGAAGGTCCCAGGTTCTATCCCCGGCATCTCCAGTTAAAAGGGCCAGGTGGAAGGTGATGGGAAAGACCCCAGCCTGAGACCCTGGAGAGCCGCTGCCAGTCTGAGCAGGCAAAACTGACTTCGATGGACCAAGGGTCTGATTCAGCATGTCAGCTTATTGAAAATGACATCGGCAGTGATGCTGGGAAGAAGGAAAGTGGCTCTCTTGTGCGGGAACGACGCTCTTTGTCGTCAGCTGGCAGCAGAAGACCATCCCAGAACTGTCTGTCTCCCCTTCCTTGTGGGACCACATTAGCCAAGCACCTCTGGTGGGTTCCAGACCCTGGCAAATGCCTGACTGGGCCAGCCCTTGCATGCAGAGAAACAGAAGAACTGACTGTACACTGCATTGGTCAGACCACACCTGGAGTCTTGTGGGCAGTTCTGGAGGCCTCACTACAAAGAGGATGTGGACAGAGTGGAGCGGGTGCAGAGGAGAGCGACAAGGATGATCGGGGGCCTGGAGACCAAGAAGTCCTGTGAGGAAAGTGAGGATGATCGGAGGCCTGGAGACCAAGAAGTCCTGGCCCCACTGGTGGACCTCCTGATGGCACCTGGTATTTTTGGCCACTGTGTGACAGAGTGTTGGACTAGATGGGCCTTTGGCCTGATCCAACATTGGCGTCTCTTATGTTCTTATGAAAGGCTGAGGGACCTGGGAGTGTTCAGTCTAGAGAAGAGGAGGCTGAGGGGGGACAGGACTGCTCTCTTTAAGTCTTTGAAGGGCTGTCCCTTAGAGGAGGGCAGGGAGCTGTTCCTGTGGGCAGCAGAGGAGAGGACTCGCAATCATGGGTTGAAATGAAGGGCAGGGAGGTCCTGGCTGGATATCAGGGAAACCTTTTGACAGTCAGAGTTGTGCAATGGTTGCAATCTGTCGGTTGATAGCTATTATCCCTTTGTAATGGTGATGTATTATTTACCTTGAGCTGACTTACCTGTTCCTGTTTGAATGGTTGTTTTAGTTTGTAGTTTGTATTTTGTATTATTTCTGGATTTTCAATCAAATGTTTTTAAAAAAGGAGTTGTGCAATGGTGGAATCAGCTACCTAGGGAGGCGATGAGCTCTCCCGCCACCCCCGGCAGTCTTCAAGCAGCGGCCGGACAAACCCTTGTCAGGGATGCGCTAGGCTGATCCTGCATTGAGTAGGGGGTTGGAGTAGATGGCCTCTAGGGACCCTTCCAACTCTGTGATTCTGTGACTCCTTTGAGAGTGGGACGGGAGGGGGAAAGAATCAGAGATACCTTGAGAGGAGGATGTTGCAGTTCTGGGCCCTCCGGCCATCTATGACCGAAAGCTCCTTGACTTTATGCCTGGAACTCAGCGCGTCGTCGAGGGTGTCTTCTTTCTAAGGGAGGCATGCAAAGAACCCATCAATACGCAGACGAGCACGGACGTCTTAGAACTTCGCGTCCCCACCATCAATCAAGCAGTCTTTCCCCCAAGCTGACAGCTTAGAAATCCAGAGCCTGCCACTGAAATACAACCAGCTGTTTCGTAAACCAGCGTGTCCTCTTGTGTGTGTGAGTGTGGGGAGACGACAAGACAGCAAAGAAACACGATTGGGCGAAAGCACGTAAATATTGACCCAGATGGAACGATTTAAGAGCCTGTGAGCGTGCGGACCAATGAGGGACACGGAAAGGGGTTCCCGGGCGCAGTCGAGTCATGGCGCTCAGTTCAGGACTGTTTGACTAACAGCTGGGGACCGTGTTGAACTTACCTTTGGGGTTCCGAGCTGTGGGCGACTTGTAAGGGAAGGGGCCAGAGGTCAGCGGCAGAGCACATGGTTTGCGTGCTCCGGGTCCCAGGTTCAGCCCCTGACATCTCTTAGTTAAACAGGGATGGCAGGAAGCCGGGCGGGGTGGGTGGGTGGGGAGGGATTCTTCTCTGCCTGAGACCCTGAAAAGACACTGCCGGTCAGGAGAGAGACACAACCCCAAACGAGAAAGACCGAGGGGCAAAAACGAGCCTATCAACCAGGTATTAGGCAGGTTTACACACTCGAAACGGAGGGTGACCCGCTTGACAAGACTTTGGGGAGGGGATACATCTTTGCACGCAGTAGGTTTCCCCGGGCGACCCCACGGCTTCTCAGTGACAGGTGTTGGCGCAATGTACCCTCTAAGCTGTGGAATCTTGTGAGCAAAAATTCTACTTAGTGAGCTATCAGCATTAAAGTTGTGGGTGAGCGATTTGGCTACTGCACAAATTAGTCTGCTCTGGAGCCATCCTTCCTGAGCTGAGACAAAAACGTGTGAGCTGGAGGCTAAAAAACTGTGAGCTAGCTCACACTCACTCAGCTTAGAGGGAACACTGATGTTGGGGAAGATCCTGGAAAGCTGCTATTTGCAGGGTGGGGACGCTTTCGCCACGCAGAGAAGATTCTCGTACGTCAGATGAGTCCCCCTACCCCACTGTCTGTATGAGGCGACGGGGCCGCAAATGGCTTGGGCTGCTTTGTGCAGGAGGGTGGTTTAGCACGTGGGCCCCCAACCTGACGCCCACAGGCACCACAACAATCGCTAGGTGTTTTTAGGAAGTGGGCAGAGCTTTGGCCCAGAAAGGCACTGAAGATTTGATTGGCCGCACAGATTTTTTTAAAAAAAATTGATTGGTCAGCAGCTGCCACCACAGCCCAAGGATCTTCACTGTGTGCTGAAGGCAGAAGAAAAAGAAGAAGAGAGTGGATTTATATCCCCCGCCCTTCACTACCTGAAGGAGTCTCAGAGCGGTTTACAATCTCCTTTCTCTTCCCCTCCCCACAACAGGCACCCTGTGAGGTAGGTGGGGCTGAGAGAGCTCTGAGAGAACTGCTCCTGAGAGAACAGCTCTGAAAGAACTTGTAACCGACCCAAGGTGACACCAGCAGCTGTAAGTGGAGGAGTGGGGGAATCAAACCCGGTTCTCCCAGATTAGAGTCCGTGTTCCTAACCACTACACCAAACCGGGACTTTGTGGCTCCGCCCACCATGCTGTGTCACAATTCCAAAGGCGCCTGCAGGCTCAGAATCATTGGGGACCCCTGGTAGATTTAACTGCAAGCTTCTGGTACAGGAATTCCAAGTCTCACGGAAATCTTCTCCAGCATTCAGGGATGTTTAATCTGGAGAAGAGGAGGCCGAGGGGGGACAGGATGGCTCTCTTTAAGTATCTGAAGGGCTGTCGCTTGGAGGAGGGCAGGGAGCTGTTCCTGTTGGCAGCAGAGGAGAGGACTCGCAAGAATGGGTTGAAATTAAACTCGCTTCCAACCAATGCTCCCTCTAAGCTGTGGAGTCTTGTGAGCAAAAATTCGACTCTGTGAGCTACGGGCATTCAAGCTGTGAGCGAGCGAATTGGCTACTGCATCAATTAGTTTGCTCTGGAGCCGTCCTTCCTGAGCTAAGAAGAAGAAGAAGAGAAGAGATTGGATTTATACCCCGCCCTTCACTTGGAGTCTCAGAACGGCTTACAACCTCCTTTCCCTTCCCCTCCCCACAACAGACACCCTGTGAGGTGGGTGGGGCTGAGAGAACTCTGACACAGACTGCTCTTTCAGGTACAGCTGTGCCAGAGCTTGCGGCTGACCCAAGGTCACATGTGTGAGCCAGAGGCTAAAAAAACTGTGGGCTAGCTCGCACTCACTCAGCTTAGAGGGAACCCTGCTTCCAACAGCCCCCTCCCCAACTCAATTTCTCCAGCCAGTCATTGGCTAAACCGCTAAGACTTCCTAAGCACGGATGGGGAATGTTGGTGCACAGTTCAGCTGATGGAAGGTGAGAGGTCAATCTGATTGGGTCAAAACCCAGTCAACCGAGCAAACACTGAGCTGTTGAAAAAGAGAGGGCGCTGCTTTGGTGACCTTCCACGAAAGGGTACTTAGGACTCAGGGAGGCGGGGAGGAGAAAAGCAATAAAACTAATACCAGACAAAGTCCAAGAGGCAAGGGAAACCAAGGAGGTGGAGAAGGGAGAGAAACAGGTACAGGCAAAATGAGTGACGGTGGGTCGGGAGAGCCCCAAACTGGGACGACACAAGAGGAAGGGTAGAAAGGGAGAGGATCTGGACTTCCTATTGATTTAAAATAACAAGTGAAAAGCCCCGGGAAATATTTAGCACCGATGCCCCGACCTATCCGAACTGCTGAAGGGCAAGATTTCAAACCAGTTCGGCCGTGACCACTCCGAACACAAAAGGCATTCTCTGGCCGTTCACTGACTGCAACCAGAGAATCCTAACATTATACCTGACCGGGAAGAAAGTCCACAAGTATTTAGTGGATGGACGAGATTAATTCCCGCCCCCGTCAAGTGACCCAAGTCATGCCGAGTGACCGAGCGCACTGGCCGTCTGCAGAACTGAGTTTAAGAGCTGCATGAACACAAGTAACGAATAAATTGCGATCGGTCAAGTTGGGCCACTTCCGCACTGTCACTTTTGTCCCTCGTTTGTCCCTATTGCTTTAGGTCCCCACCAGTGTTCCCTCTAAGCTGAGTTCGTGTGAGCTAGCTGGCAGTTTTTCAGCCTCCGGCTCACCCCATCTTTGTCTCCGCGCAGGGTGGATGGCGCCAGAGCAAAACTGATTTATGCAGCAGCCAAATCGCTCGCTCACAACTTTAACGCCAGGAGCTCACCAAGCAGAATTTTTGCTCAAAAGACTCCGCAGCTTAGAGGGAGCACTGGTCCCCAGCTCCCTTTTCCACATGTGTTTAGCTCCCCCTGGGACTACTAGAGAGAGCAAAACACATTGGGGGGGGGGAACCCTGAAGCAACAGGGATGAACGAGTGACAAAAAAACGACCCGCCCGGCCCCTAATTTTAGAAACAAATACCTGAGAAAACAGTCGTGAGAGTCTGACCCACAAATCAAGATAGTCAACAAAACTTACAAGGAATATTTTTTGCATATATTGTTACCAATAAACACTACGTAACAATGAACAGATCCCATCCAATCATAAGAGAATCCTCGTCTAAGAATACATCAACGTCGCCTCAGGATTTTATAACGACAAGGTTTCAAAAAACGGCTCTTCCTCAGGAAATATATTCTTAAAAAATTTCTTTTTAAAAAGAATTTAAAAAGCATTTTCAGAAGAAAATCTTGTGGGGCTGCGACTTTAAGGAAGGGGGCGGAGCGCCGAACGGCCCCACCATAGCTACGGGCCAGCCACTAAGTCCCCCCTCCATGCCCACCCGCGTGCCCCCACCCACCCGTGCCCCCCTCCTCTGCCAAAAAAAAGCTTTGTGTCTCGCCCACATCTACCCTCCTCCAGTGGCGTTAGGCAGCAGGTGCAGCACAGGTGACAGAGCCCTCACAAGCAGAGAGCGGAAGGAAGGAAGGGCAGGCAGAAGAAGAAGAAGGAGATTGGATTTATACCCCGCCCTTCACTACCCAAAGGTGTCTCAGAGCCGCTTACAAACTCCTTTCCCTTCCCCTCCCCACAACAGACACCCGGTGAGGTAGGTGGGGCTGAGAGAGCTCTGACAGAAACTGCTCTTTTTCAAGAACAGCTCTGACAGAACTACGGTTTGCCCAAGGTCATCCAGCAGGTGCAAGTGGAGGAGTGGGGAATCAAACCCGGTTCTCCCAGATTAGAGTCCGCGCACTTTAACCACTACACCAAACTGGTATCCGAGGAGATGCGTGAGTAGGGAGTCAGCAGTGGGCCCCTCCCGAATCCACGGACCCAGAAAGATGCCCCCTCTCAGTGTACACTGACGCAAGCCCGGACTCTGAGTTGTTTTCATACACAGCTCTTTGGGTCACAAAGCTACCGTGATGTTTCCACAGAATGGGTACCCAAAAATAAATAATCCCAGAACGTTTTCGGTTTCGGAGAGCCGGGCCCCGCCGTTATCGCCTCGACCTCCGGTAAGCGAATACGCAAGTCCCGACATTTGATTGCAAAGAATCTCTCGCCCGTTCCGGCAGAAGCGGACTTACCTGCTTGGAGTTACTGCTCACAAAGAAGTCCTACGGCCACAGCAGAAGCGTGGGAGAGGCGGGGGGGGGGAAGCGAGCAGTTCAGTGGTCACAGCAAAAAAAAACCCACAAAGAAATAAACACCCCACAAACAAAATAAAGAGAGAGAGAGAGAGGACAAAAGTAAAGAGTCAAAGCACAGTTGGGATATAAATTCAGTGGTGCTCCCTGCAAATCCCCTACCCCCTCCCAGCACTCCGGATATACCCGCTGCAGTCCTTGCAATCAGGGGCGGATTCAGGCTCACTGGTGCCCTAAGCACTGACCCCAGTCCATTTTTAGCTGTTGACCTCTTCTGACCAGATATACAATGCAGGTTGCAGCAATACAAAAATGTATTCATAGGATAACACAGTATACTGTACAAACTAAGCTTTTCGCCCTTTCCCCAACTTTGTGGTGCCCCCTCTGGCCCTGGTGCCCTAAGCACGTGCCGAGTCTGCTTCATGGTTAATCCGCCCCTGCTTGCAATGCTAATCAGGAGGCGCGACAACGGTAAAGGGGTGTTAGCGGAAAGGGCTCTGCGGCAGAGCGGCATGCGGAACCAGAGAGAGAGAGCCAAGGGAGAAGCCGTTTGACAATCAGGTGCGGTTCCGTTAGTCAGTCGAGCTTATTCATGCAGATGCAAAGTACAGTCCACACCTTCTGCAGTTCATTGTCACTTCCGAGGGCTGGCCTAGACCAATCAAGAGATGCCCAAGGCTGCCTCAGAGTTTGGACCTTGGGGTATCGCAGTGGGATACGGGGGGCTAGTTTTCGAGCTATGGAAGAAGCGGCAAGGCTGCCATTCTTTCTCAGTGCCGTATGAAGTGGACACATTGGAATGTACATTGCCCTGATCTTACTGGAAGAACGCTGTGATAAGGACACACTAGACAGACATACAGAGACCTTGACTGTTATCTTTGGAGGCCCTTCTGAGTGCCTCCACTTTCTGAGCTTAGACAGGTGACAACGCAAGACAGGGCCTTCTCGGTCACGGCCCCCAAATTATAAACTGCCTCCCCAGGGGTGTTCATCTAATCCAGGGGACCTCAAGTGTGGTGCCTGGGGGCACGTGGTGATGGCCAACACCATTCCTGGTGCCCGCCAAGTGTTTTTAGAAAGTGGGTGGGGCTATGTGTGTGGGGCTTCGGATTGCCCACTGGGGATCTGATTGGCTGTGAAGATTAAAATGACATTTCAGTGACAGCTGCCACTACTGTTCCTCGTGCTTCGGCTTGAGTGATGAACACATGGAATTCACTGCCACAGGAGGCGGTGGTGGCGGCTACAAGCATGGACGGCTTCAAGAGGGAATTGGATAAGCATATGGAGCAGAGGTCCATCACTGGCTATGAGCCACAAGGTATAGATAGGGACTCTCAGGCTGGGGCAAGTGGATTCTTCGTGCTTGGGGGGGAGCAACAGTGGGAGGGCTTCTAGTGTCCTGGC